ACCCATTGATTGGCCCTGGGAGGGAGCGGCACTTAAGACCACCCTATTCCTTCCGAATTCCACTCGGAACCTAAACTGAACTTCTCAAGTCTAATATTTTAATTTGGCATGGCCCGGCTAGGGCCCGGTTTGGGCACCCGCTTCTCATGCGGATTTGAAACCTGGCAAGTACCAATGTGAGTGTGTTTTCTGAGTTATATGTTTTTTTTTATGTAATAGGTCGGCAAACGAGCAGACGGATTACCTGATGGTAAGCAATCAGCGCCGCCCATGCAACGCTCCGAAACGGAGAAGTTACGAGTGCATTGCCGACCTTTTAGGGATTAGGGATTTGGAGATTTAGGGATTGAGGAGGGATTGGGGGCGGGGAAGGATTGGGCATCCGGTAACCTCACTCACACGGCGAAACACAACGCTGTGGTTGTTTCACGCCGGTCTTCTGTGAGGCCGTGGTATCACTCCGGTCGAGCCGACCCATTCGTGCCGAATCATGGCTCTCCCACACTTGTATGTACTCTCTATTATAATTATTTAGACACCACTGACAAACGGTGAAGGCAAACATCGTGAGGAAACCTGGTCTTTCTAATTATAAGTTTGAAATCGCCAATCCGCCTTGAGCAAGCGAGGTGATTAATGCTCACACTCTTCGTGTAAGAAGAAGCCTTTGCACAGCAGTGGGCACTTAAAGACTAATGGTGTGACGATGTGAACATTTTTGTAAATATTCTTAGATCATTGTTTGATGCATACCAAATAACTATGAAGACTATATTAAGAAACTCACGCGCACACATTACACGACTAAATATAAAAATAATATTATTTTGTGTTTATTTTGATTCTTAATTGATACACATAAATTGTCACATATTGTTTTTACATTATATGTTTGTTTTTACATTATATTCATTGGGAATTATTATTTTACTAAAAGCTTTGGTCTATTTAGTTAAGCAAATCTTTAAAACGAAAAAAAAAATTTTTTTATTTTGGTAAGCAATCGATGCCGATCATGGACCTCCACAATACTGGAGGAATTGCTGGTCTTTGGGGATTAGGGTTACGGGAGATTAAAGGATTGGGGGAGGAGAAAAAAGTATGAAATATTCCGAAAAACATAATACTTTGCTCGATTTTAGCGCAGTATTTAATTAATTAAACTTCTCCTCTATACGTGAGTTTCGTCAGGAAATCGGAAGCCGGAACAAAAGCGAAGGTTTTATCTGTGGTGACTAAGAAAAAGTTAATAAACAAAGTACAATGGCTTTTGAGCTAAATAAAAAAAAATGTAAGTAACAAAGTGAATGCGAATTCAATGTCGACGAAAAAAATTTTTGGTGGCTAGTAACAGCTGTTTATATAGGTTCAGCCAAATGTTTTGTTGTGATTGCCAGCTGGGGTTTGGTTAAACAATACCTATCGAAGTTGGTATGTGAATAGGTAAAGATTTTTAATTTTATAGACTACTAGCTAATCTCGCGCGGTTTCACCCGCTGCTCCGCTCCATTTGATCGTAGCGTGATGTTTTAGCCTATAACACTCAGGGACATTGTAGCTATCTATCAGTGAAAAATTTTTGGCATTCCGACCAGCGTTTCCGAAGATTACCTCCTACATTAAAACTTACAAATATTACCTCTTTAAAATATTAGTATAGACTATAGGCCCGTATCAGCTTCGCACAGGTCTACTACCAGCTTAGGTAGGTTCCTGTTTCGGATTCAGCGGGAGGAAACGCCCGAGTGTCGTCATTGTGAGGACCACCTAGAGGATACGGTGGAGCATACGGTAGCGGTATGCCCTGCCTGGGCTGAGCACCGCCGTATCCTCAGGGAAGTGATCGGCGGCGGCGACCTCTCGCGCCCGGCCTTAGTCGAGGCCATGGTGCGGAGTGAGAGGAACTGGGACGCCGTCTCCTCCTTTTGTGAAGCAGTCATGCTCGCAAAGAGAGAGGCGGCCCGCGTGAGGGAGCAATCCTCCTCCTTACGCCCCAGCAGCCGCAACTGGCGACACTACGGGCGTCGGGGATCGAGGGACGATCTCCGGCCACCGTAAGTACGGGCCTGCGGTCGGCGAGTAAGGGCAGCTCGCCGCCCGACCAGAACCAGGCCCGAGCGTACGGCGCGTAGCGTTCCGCGCGCGCCTCAAAGAGCCATTCGACCACCACAGACGGGGCCCTAAAGGGCTGGTGTTCAGCCGGGGTTGCGGGGTAAGCGCAATGAGGTACCGCGACCTCGGCACAGAGCAGGAGAAGGAACAGGGGGGTTTTTAGTCAGTAAGAGTCTGACACTCCCTCCTGCCCGGCCCTGGGCGGGAGAAGTCATTTGATGATTTTCCCCTCACAAAAAAAAAAACAGGTCTACTACCGTCGCTAACAATGAAATTCTAGTCTTTTTCTCAATTATCGCTTCTATTTTTCTTATATTTCTAAATTTTTCTTCTATTTTCTACCTTCTCCTGACAATAACAAACACAACAAATAAAGAATTGGTCAATATAGTTTAGGCGTAATTGAGCTATCTGCTTGCCAACTCATTTTGCGATTCATTTTTCTATATAAACAGATGTAGTTAATGTTTATTTTATTCCGTGTCTTTGCAAATACAAGTTTGACTATTAAAATCAAGGTTACAAGTGTTATATAACGTTCCTGCGGTCGGCGAGTAAGGGTAGCTCGCCGCCCGACCAGAACCAGGCCCGAGCGTACGGCGCGTAGCGTTCGGCGCGTAGCGTTCCGCGCGCGCCTCAAAGAGCCATTCGACCACCACAGACGGGGCCCTAAAGGGCTGATGTTCAGCCGGGGTTGCGGGGTGAGCGCAATGAGGCACCGCGACCTCGGCACAGAGCAGGAGAAGGAACAGGGGGGTTTTTAGTCAGTAAGAGTCTGACACTCCCTCCTGCCCGGCCCTGGGCGGGAGAAGTCATTTGATGATTTTCCCCTCACAAAAAAAGTGTTATATAACGTTAAATAACATTGGACTGAAAATCTTAGCGTAAGCTGTTAGGTTGGCCTTCTAGGTATGTTTTTCTCGGCTGATGGAAAAATCTTTACCGATCTTAGGGAACTTTCAACACGTTCTTTAATACTGGACTATACCGAATCAGATACTCATATGTATATGTGTTTATTTATTTATTTACTTATAAAATGTTTCCTTGTTATTGCAGAAAAAAAGGTTTAATAGATAAAAAAAAAATTTGAAAAATCAGTGCGAAAATTAAGTAAAAATATATTGTCAAGCAGACTGTTTATTTTAGCTTCAGCTAATCAAATATTACTGTAGAAGTTTAGACTGTTATGTAACTTACGTATACAAATATTAAAAATATACATAAATAAGAATAAATTAGTCCCCCTTTTGTTGAGGAGGGGAAACCATCAAATGGCTGGTTTCGTCCAGAGTATGGCGAGAGGGAGTGTCAGACTCTTACTGACTAAAAACTCACCCGTTCCTTCTCCTGCTCTAGGCCGAGGCCGCGGTACCTTATTATGCTTGACCCGCAAGCCTGGATAAATAACCCCTTTAGGAACCAAAATATAGCACAAGAGTCAGACATTTCACCCAATTTTGATACCAATTACTTGTGTTATAAGGTTATTATTTGTATGTCTTTACCAATCACGGGACCACAGGGTCCCGGTCATTTGGGAGGCGTACGAGGGGCCGGAGCCAACTGCGCAGAGGCCCTATATTATTATTCTTACATAATGCTTGCATATATGTCAAAGATCAATAGTTTAACAAAAAATATATTTCATTCTTATTTTAAAACTTACTTATATATAAAACTTTATATACTAGGATATTAGGTTACATAAATAAGCATATAAAATCTTAGGGTTCAGTTTATTTACACACAAAAACGCTTAGACGATACAGTTTCTTAAAAACATCGCATCGGGATTATTGTTAAACTAGCTGTGCGCTGCGAATTCACTCGCGTTTTGTTTATAGCCTTTGTGCACCAAGGATAGTGTACCTTCGCTACAGTGAAATAAATTTTGCAGCAAGGTGAATCAGACTATTTTAGGGGGTAATGCAACCAGTGCACGTATTGTGAAACAAATAGGCAGTAAAATGAGGAACGTTAATCAAATCGAATGATTAGAAAAGCCAATTTGACATGAGATTTAACATACTTTTATGTATGTCTGTGTCAATTTCATATATTGATTATTGTAAAGGCCACGGCGGCAAGATAAGGCTAAGAACTCACGGAGCGATTTTCGCCCGCGTCCGCTGCGGTTGCGGGCCCGCAGCTTTTGCAGAATTCAAATATTTATATAAAAAGTTAAAGCACATTTCACGACGCGTTTTACGCCCGCGGTGTACGCGGTTTTATGCGGCTCCCGCTGTACCGGCGGGCAACTAGTAGAATCGCGCGGGCCGCGGTTACCCGCAGCCTCGGCGGGTGGCACCCGCGCGCTTTGCGATCGGTTGGCGAGCGACCGCGGGGGCCGGCGGGTCTTCTGTGAAGTAAATATAACGCAACGGCTTGTTTCTGGTGTGTGTCCATGGCGGTCTGGACCTCAACTGATCGTTAACCGCCCGTTTTGCAATCTTGCTGTGTAACCGCGCAAATAACCGGTCTAGTGAGTTTGGAAATAAAACCGCAGTTCTTCTACCGCGGCGGGTACGGTTCAAAATCACTCCGTGAGTTCTTAGCCTAACTTTCCCATTACCTAATGATTGTGTTAATCAGCGCTGCATGCAGTCAACTGCAGCATCAGGAGTTACAAGTGTATGGCAAGCCTTTTAATTTGAAATTTTGGGATTTGAGGGAATTGGAAAGGGACGATTTGACTAACGTTTGTCCATGGACTGATGGTATTACCCATTACTTTAAAATCATCAACAATTGAGAAATTACTTCATAGACTTATCAACTGATTAATACTTTCTCTAACAGAAAACATTAATGATTTATGGACCAAACTCTCCACCAACGCCATCTAGCGGCAAATTCCAATAGCAATAGTATTTTATAAAATTATATTTTTTAGACACTGCATAACTAAAGCTTTTTGTATGTCAATAGTATCAAACATTTTCTAGTCATTACAATTATTTTGTATCTGTGGTCTCTTCATGTAAATCAATGTTGCTAGACTATAAAATAATTTCGTGTTTAAAACTCCTTGTTAGATGTTTATGTGGCAACACTATTGAGTTGAGTAGGATTGTTTCCGCTGGCACCACTACTCCTGCACCTGTTGAGACAGAAATTTGAATCTTAAATACAATATTTGAACGAAAATTTGTTCAACTCGTAAATTTTATGTCAGTTTTTTTTAATTTATTTTAAATTTTACACGTCGACGTTCACTAAATCATTTAGAGGTAAGTACAAATATAATAATAACTACACAAATAACCCTAATTTTAAACAACTAATTTTTCAGCGAATAAATCAGAAAACGCCATGTATTTTCTTAGCCAAACTTATTTTTGAGACATATGATCAGCTGTGTTTTTCCGCTCTGGGTTAAAAGGAGAGGGAATGTCAGACATTCTTTCTTCCAATCACTCAGTGCCTTCTTAAGATCTGAACCGAGGGACATGGTAACTTATTACACTTAACCCCTTAACTCGAGACGCAGAGCGTCGCGCGCGCCTTAAACAGACATCAGACCTACATAGAAGGGGCCCATTAGGGCCTATGTCCATTGGGGTGTGTGCAAACTTCTACTGATTGTAAATGGGTGCCATGAAGTGATAATTAATGTTCAGGAAAAAGATAGAATTCTATCTGAATTAGAAGACAGAGGAGAATATCGTAATGCATAATATGATTTAATCATTAATCTCTTTGCTCTTCAGATATAAAGAGTTTTTATATTTTATATTTCCCACGGTGAACAAAGGTGAACACTAGGAAAAAAATCTTCCCGCTGCACACCTAGGTGGTCTCACGAGGTGTACGGTGGGCAAAGAGCGGTTAGTGTAGCAAAAGATCCTACTAGTCCAACTTTCGACTGTCTAATGATTTGACGCTAGATTTTTTTTATTAGACTAACAGGACTATTTCCTACCTTAGCGACATCTAGGGGGTAATTCACCAATATCAGTGACAATTTTCGTATTAGACTTACCCAATATTGTAATAGATGGGTTTAACCTCCCATCGGTGTTGAAAAGAGGCGTGTTGTCCATCTTCGCGAAAGGTTTGTTCGGGTCCGGATCTGAAGGTGTACCTTCTACTCTGGACCATTCGCCTACTGACGCTTCTTGGCCAACTGCATTGATAAAATTTATTATTTAAAGATTTTCCTAGTATGTATTTTGTAAATAAGTGTTTCAGCTTGGGAGTTAAAATCTTTTGGCTATAGATAAAATTTGATTTTTGCATGAAAAAATTTAAACGATTTTTTTTTATTTCAAATGCGGTGAAAATGTAACACTAATCAATAAACAAATGACTACTTTTGGAAAAAGAATCCCATGTTTTTAAAACAAAATTAATTAGCCTTAGCCTAACAAAAACTATTTTGATTTGAAATGGCCAGTACTGCAGAGCGGCAATTTCATTGGTAAAGACCTATAATTAAAAATATTTCAAAGTTTAAATTTTATGAATATCACACCCACCAAGTATTATAAACACACTTTTTCTACAAATGTAGGGCTGAACATATGATTAGCATTTGCCCAGGAAACAAATCGAATAAGATTCCATCTCATTCGAATGTTGAAATTTGAAACGCCGTCCGTCATGTCATGTCATCGAATGGGTCGGCTCGACCGGAGTGATACAATGGCTTCACAGAAAACCAGCGTGAACTAAGCATAATAGTTACAATACAACTTTTCAATGATCCTAAACTTACCAACTGAGTACATTACAAGCGCATGTTCGTGTACCGTCGCGTTGTTTAGTACAATTGACTCCTTTATCCGCACTCCTGCCTTGATCGTCACTCCTGCGCCGATCGACACGTTCGGACCAATCTGAGTGAGAGAGGTAGATATTATTTTTAAACTGTTATTCAATTAAGGGCTGTTTTTCAATGGTTAGGTAAAAGTTACTTGGGGATTAATTATGATGCTGTCGCGTCAGAATGTTTGCATAAGACAGTGACAGCAACAATTTTATTCTTATATAACATTTATCTGACTATTGAAAAATCAACCTTAAGTAAATTAGGTTATCACTACACAGTACGAAACAAAGTTGGTTCCCGTAGTGTGTTTCTATGTATGCTAAGACCTTTAAAAGTTCGTCACAGATTTTTATGCGACTATGATCCATGAGGAAGTTTTCAATTTATTGAAGCTTGCGTACAAAGGCAAGGTCAGGGAACTAATCTAAAAATAAAACAAAAAATAATTGTACTTTGTCAAATCATGACGTCATCTTTTCTCACGCATCTGATAACTCGACTAAGAATTTTATAGCAAGTTTTATTAATAATGAATTATGAGATCTGAAAATCTTATAATAAAATAAAATAAATGCCAAGCGAATCTGAGTCTACTTACAACAGCAGTAGAGTCGACAACAGCGGTGGGATGTATGAACACATCAGGCAAAACGGTGCAGGGTTTGTCCTTGGACACGCGGTCGCGATGGAGCTCCAAATAATGTCGGTTGGCGTATATCGCTGAACCAGCCGTTTTTACTTGAGACCACCAATTTGTTACCTGGCAATATGTATTCAGTTTATTTTTTGGTAAACTTATAGGGTAAGGAAAAGTTACAATTCACCTATAATATAGTCCAAAAAAAAACACTAAATTCACATCAACAGTTTATTTAGGGCTACCGTTTTTTTTTTGTTAACTAGATGGCGCCACTGCGGTCCTCATGTATTTTAGTCCGCCGTATTTTGGCAAGTCTGAAGTTGGCCATTTGTCTGCGCAATGGATCTTTTAGGAACAAAATTGTGTACTGCGCAGCTAATCAGCTAACTTCAGACTCGCCAAGATTCGTCGGCGGTATTGTAGCTAGTGTTAATCTATTCACGTTTAATTATTGAATGTTAAATTAATTGAAAACAATATTTTTGCTAATGTAATGATGGTGATTAGCGTCATCTGGATTGGATAGATTTTTGACCATTTAATATAAGACGGTCCGTAAGCTTTATTGCTTAAAATAAAGAAGTATTCTGTTCATTATAATGACAATGTGAAATTAAAATAAACAAGATTTACCTGCATAGCGTATAATTTGTTGGTCCCCGCAAGTTGCATCAACACATCTTGCTCAAAAGACATGTATCCAGGATGAGGACTTGTCTGTCCATTGCCACTAGAAAAAAAAAAGCATTTAGAGTAATATTTTCAATACAGTATTACAACTTCAGATGGGTAATGAATTGTGTGAATGAGTTATACTAAAATATGTAGTGAATTTCATTCAGAATCTTTGCTTTAGAAACATTCTAAAGGCAACACACACACACACAACATATTGTTTTTTTAATCCATTTTTTTCTAGTTCTTTAGATCTAAAAATGCTGGGTACATTTTTTTTGTAATGGGTCGGCAAACGAGCAGACCTATTACCTGGTATCTAAGCAATGTGCGCCGCCCATAGACATACTATATACAGTCTATGAGCTCCGGTTGCCGGCCTTTTAGAGATTAGGGTTAAGGACATTTAGGGATTGAGGAGAATAGAAGGAGGGGAGGGCTTGGACCTTCGGTAACTTCACAACGCTATATTTGTTACACGCTGGTGTTGTGTGGGGCCGTGGTATCACTCTGATGGAGCCGGCCCACTCGTGCCGAAGCTTGGCTGTCCCATACATGTTTTAGTACATACCTGTAAAATCCATCCTGTTTCTTCTGGAAGGAATCAGCCATGGTATGGAAGACTTGTAGTGAACACACATACACTCCGCAGTTGATCAGAGTTGAGACATAACTGTTTGGTTTCTCTACGTAATGGGTCACAGATTTCGTGGAGCTTTCTCGTACCATGCAGCCGTAGTGGACTGATTGCTGACGAGTGGCCTCTGTACCCATTATTGTGACCTGTAATATACATTATTATAAACTGCTTTATGCATTATTTAAAATGCCTCTGGTGGTAGAGGGGACCTTATAACCATGCCTGTGTGTAGTACAATTTCGTTAAAAACCTATGTAAGTGCTTAATTTTAACTATTTATATGTATGATGAAGAACAAGAGATGAAGATGGTGTTGTATATATTAATAAGTCTATATTTATAAATTCGTTGTAATCTTAAAACTCAACAATTTGCCGATTTGGCTAATTTTGTTCTTGAATTATTCGTGGAAGTTCAGAAAAGGTCTTTAAACCGTCTAAAATCGACATCCACGAGGGTGGAGCCGCGGTCGACCGCTAGAATGAATGAATAAAAATTAATAGTTTTACGTTTAGCCCTTTGAATGATTAGTTAATTGGAGCAAACCAATCAGAAAGAGGAACGCCATAAATATCCTTAGCGTAAAGTAAACTTGCATTGGTCATTCAGGTCGAAAAAGTTTTATTTTCGATTTTATGAAATTCTCACATGGTTTTTTTTTAACTATAAACATAAGAGTTTGAAATGGTTTTCGGCGAATAGGAATAGGCTGGTCTACAACAAGGATTTGAAAACAGATATAAATTCAATATGATTGAAAAATTTACAATGCAGAAAAGGGAGAAATGTAATGGTTATCCTTAAGTGAACTACTCTGAAACCAACCAAAATTAACTGACAATATATTTTATACTTAAAATTTTGAACGCATGTATAACAACAGATTTATTTAAGGGGTCAATATTTGCCACATAGCTGCCACAACCAAGGAAGGCAAATTTTGTAAAACAGTATAAATAATTTGTGTAAAATATCCCTCCACTATTTTCTAAGATCACTTACCAAAGCATTCGATTTTTCCGAATGGAAATGCCACAATTCCTTAAGGGGGAAGTCAGCACAAACATCTCCGTTGAGCAGGAAAAATGCTGAAGGATTTCCCGCTCTGACTTGATCTCTGAAGTGGTAGAGACCACCACCTGTCCCAAGTGGGGTGAACTCTTGAAGGTATCTGTGAAAAAACAGGGTGTTACAATAAGTTTTTGGTAATAACAATAAATATCCATTGGGAATATGTTTTCTGTAAAGTGCAAAAGTGGTAGCATAGATGAATAGACTGCACGGTTGGCGCAATTTGTCGCTGGTACGATTCCCGCACGTTACAACTCTTTGTGTGATTCACAAATTGTTGTTACGGATCTGGGTGCAATATGCATGTGAAATTGTATGTTTGTAAACACACCTACGACGCAAGAGAAAATCTTAGCATTTGTTTTATTTAATAAAAAAAAATTATCTAAATTTCTGTTCCAAGGCTCAGCTTCTTTAATACTGAAATTTTTTGGCCTTTGTCAGCCTTTTCTAGATAAGGAATATGATGGGTATTATACCAGATGTTTCCCAAAAAATGTTAATTTGATACACTTTAAATATTGTAGGAATTCCACAATACTTTACGTTAATTGCTACTGTAAATGGAAATTTTGCCTAGAGTCACATCACATATCGATTTGAGCTTACACTTAAGCTGGCTAACATCTAATAAGTATTGGAAACGCATACCTGATCATAACATGGTATTCTTTTTGCATATCATTGACAAATTGTGCCATAGTATTTGTTGTGTAAGACCCAATGATTAGGATCTCCTTGCATTCCTCTAACTTTGCACATGCTTCTATATGATGCTGGATGAGGGGAAAGCCTGCTATTGGGAACAGGGGCTTCGGTGTGTCCAGAGAGAGGGGACGGAAGCGGGTGCCTGGAAAATGAGACAAGAAAATCTTATTTATTTCTTTATTTATGCTTACAATATTTATGTTAAACATTTAAACATAATTCATTCATGAAAGTGGCGCCAGTGATTGAAAAGTTGAAAGGGAACCGTTTGTCTTGGTATGGCCATGTGAAAAGAAGGGATGAAAAGTATGTAAAAAAAAAAGTCATGAGTATAAATGTGGATGGATGGAGAGGGAGGGGGAGACCAAAGAAAATATGGATGGATTGTGTGAGAAGTGATATGGAAGACAGAGGAGTTACCGATAGCGTGATGAGTGACAGGACAGAATGGAAGAAAAAAACATACTGCGCCAACCCCAAATAAAACGGGACAAGGGCAGGAAGATGATGATTTAAACATAATTCATATATTACTAGCAGACCCAGCCACGTGTTGCTGTGACTAAGGTAAATAATATTGTGACTATAAATTGAGATGTAAGCTATCCTATCTTTCAAGTTTGATCAAAATGCACACAACACAAATTAAATTTAAAATCGGTTAAGTAGTTCAGGAGTCCATTGCGGAAAAACACGAGACTAAAATGTTTTATATATATATAAAGATATTAACAAAAAATATAAGTGTACTGCATAATCCTCAAGGAACTTCTTCCTGCAAACTGTGACAGGAAAATAAATTAAAAACACAAGGCACAGTGTACAATCTAAAAACTTAAAAATCAAAATTTAGAGCTCAATTTTTTTTATTTTAGGGTTTTATATGTTAGAATTATTTTTTATTTATTGGTTGGTATTATTTTTGCAATACAAATTTTATGAGTACAAGTTAAAATATAGCTTTTTTGTATAATTAGCTTAGTTATTGAATTCATAAATCCTTTTGTTATAATATGATGGTAATACTATAATTTTATTGAAATAATGTATTCTGATATAATAAACTGATTTATGCTGTAAACATTTTCTGAAATTCTAAGCATAGGTACTAGTTTCCTAGACTATCTAATCGGAAAGATATCAAACTAGATCAAAATGAAGTCATATCCTTATATTAAAGGCAGATATTATCAATGCCACTTACATACGTGTAAAATAAACAGAACAAACATCCCTGTGTACGTATATTTTATTTACATAACCTTCAAGTCTAGAAAATATGTTTTCTACATACAAAATACTACTCCAATAAACTTCATAGTCCTTCTACATAAACATAAGTAGTTTATACAAGTATCAGTATGTATTTATGTATTTTATTAATAATAATTGATAAGAAAAGCCGGTGACGTCGACGCGAACGATATATTTTACCTTTTTGCGGTCCTCCAATTAGAATTACGGCCTTTAACATTGTGAATACTTTTAGTTATTGAAAATTAATATTAAATTCCACTTCGTAGTGTCGTCTGAACTGTTTATTACACTTTAATAATAGAAAAACAAATATTTGAAGCAGGCGTACACAAAAACACGTCAGTGCTTGGTAAAGTCAACGAAACTGAAATGTCACTGTAAATTGTCAAATTCGTTTGACATTGACAGCAAAGGATGTTAGCTTTTTTATGGAGATAGTGGCTTTTAACAATGTACCATGGAGCTGAATATTTTTCAGGTCTTTCATATGAAATGGTAGAGTAGCTGTAATAATATATAATATAAAACCGTTATGAAATATGAAAGTGCGTACTCTGTCTTTTAACTCACTAGATTAAATAGTTTTTTATTTGTACTACAAAGTCTTATATAAGACTTAGGTCAAAGTGGAAATGTTCAAGATCTACGTTACCCCTACGTTTTTGTAAAAGTGTATAGGTATAATAGGAGGCATTCTCATTAATCCAATTCTTTCCACAGGGTTCTTTAGAACCAATTACAGGTCCAGAAATTTCATAAAGACCGGATAGCAGGCACTTTCTGTCCTATTCTGTTCTTCCTCATGAGGAAGAACCCCTCTGTGGTTCGAAACTAGTAGAGCTTTTCTCAATATTTACACGTGAGTAACCCGCGATTTTTAGTTAAATTAGTATGTCTCACGATAGTTATTATAAAAAATAAATTACATATATACAATTAGAAATACAAATACATATGTATAAAGAAATATAATACAAATATAAAGATAACTTCAAGTATGATTTTTATTTGTTTTCAGTATGGTACAACCATTTTTCCATAAAAATTGATCGGCTCGATCGGATTGATACCGTTTTACAGAATACCGTCGCGAAACAACGCTTATGATGTGTTTCGCTGTATAATTGAGGTTACCGGAGACACCATTCTTTCCTCTGATTACTAATCCCCCAAAGTCCGGCAACACACTTGTAACTTTTTGTTGTTGATTGGCGTGTAGCACTATTTGCTTACCACCAGGATCCATCTGCCTGATGAAAGCTGAAGAATGATATCATACGTACGACGTACATCCGAGAAGCATACGGGCTGGACCTAGCGGACGGAACACAGGGAAGGGAGACACAAGGAACAGTTTTTTTTTGTGAGGGGAAAGTCATGAAATGACTTCTCCCGCCCAGGGTCGGGCGGGAGGGAGTGTCAGCCTCTTACTGACTAAAAACTCTGGTAGCCTATTGGCTCTTTGAGGCGCGCTCGGAAAGCTACGCACCGTACTCTCAGGTCTGGTTCTGGTCGGGCGGCGAGCTATCCTTACTCGCCGTCCGCAGAACCGCGCTTACCGTGTCCGGAGATCGTCTCTCGACAAGGATCAGTCCTGGGACCGCTCCTGTGGAACATCGGGCACGGTTGGGTGCTACGCACCGACCTCCTGTTGCAGTTGGGGTGCGGTTGCGGGTCAAGCGCAATACGATACCGGAGCCTAGTCCTAGAGCAAGAGAAGGAACGGCCGTTGGGGGGGTTTTAGTCCGTAAGAAACCCCTCGCGCTGAAGGCATTTGATGATTATCAATCTATAAAATAAAGTTGCTGTTATGTTGCTTTTTCGTTTGACCAGTGCGTAACGCCATACTTACTGAAATTTTGCGAACATACATCTAAGTATGTAAACATACATACATGTAAACATACACAGGGTAGGTAGGTACCTATTAACATCGTAGTTAAGAGCACTAGGCGTAAAATCGATAACGTACGGTGCAGAATACCGAACGATATCGTATCAGGATGCGTAGCTATTGTATTTGAATATATATTCTCGTACAGCGATAAGCCAAATCTTTCTCAGAGACACTAGAGGCCCGGTTTACTGAATTTACATACATGACTGCTTTAATTTCTATTTATTATTATCAGCTGACTGATCTGGTGTATCCCAAGAGTATGTATTTGTCTGTGTTCAATTCATGTGTTTATTATTTAATCAAATCGCAAATAGCTAACGTTCATGTATCACATCATGTACATATGTGTCTGTCCATTTTTGCCGATTCTGTAATAACTATGTTTAAGTATGTACTATTGAAACTTGGTAAATAGAGTAGTATTTAATGAGTTGATCCGCATCCACAATATGAAAAAAAAAACAATAAAATTAGCGTTTTCTCCGGGCTTAGAACTACCTACATGCACTTGGAATATTTCAAGATAGGTCTGAAGAGTTAACCTTAAAAATACGAAACTTAAATGATATTAAGTGGTTCCTAATATCATTTTTTAAATACTAATGATACTGGAGTTTAACGATGATCATGAGTTTTAGTGTCGCGCTGAAATTTATACGTCAATTCGTTTTTGTAGGTAAACAGCAATTCATCCTTCATTCAAATACTTATTAAAAGTAAAATACAAATAAAATTAGGAAAAACTACAACCACTTTTGTCCGATTCGCACTTATTTTTAAAGCATACGTCGACAAGCGATTAGACTACCGGATGGTAAGCAATCAGCTCCACCCAACCTCTGTGCCACAAAATATTTTCAACTTTGAACTTGTAAACAAATGACATGGTAAATAAGTCATCCGTTGAATTCAGATGCAACACGGACGAAATAACGTATATCATAACATATAATTAGCGTGTGAGTGAGTGCTTCTCTGAAATTTGTGCCTACATTTTCATGGAAATATTCCGACTCGTGTACAATGAGTATTGATCGATGTATTGAAACGGAATTCAGGTAATAACTGCTCACTCCGTTTCAACGTATGAGAGGCAGGAATTTGTGTTATTTCTACCACCATGGCCTCACAGAAAACAGGCGTGAAACAACGCAATCGTTGTGTTATGCCTTATTAGAGAGGTTACCAGAGGTCCAATGTTGCCCTTTTATCTCAAAACCGCCAATGCCTAACCGAAAACCCCACCACGAATAAGGTCTTTTCTGGTCTTGCTCTCAACTTTGTAGATAACTCCTCCGCCCATGGACACCCCCATGGGTGGCACACGCAAAGATGACTAGCCTATAAGGACCTATTGCTCAGCAGCGGAGAAGGTTTGAGCATTAACCAATTGACTGCCGGTATATAAGAAATAATAGAAAACGCATTGTGTCTCGCGTGGATCTGCGTTCCGTCGCATACCACTACGCTTGTTCATGGCAAATTAGTGATTTCGAATTTAAAATAAGAAATTATCAGTTTTGGTTTCCTTATCCTAATCCGTTTGTTAAATAGAACTAGATAGTACAACTTAGAAAAAGTCACATGAAAAGCATCGGAGGAGGGCTATGCTGTGCATACGTAAAATCGGCATGCACAGGCCTGGTCGATTCGATTTTATATTACATTTAATACAATAATTTGTAATAAAAAAAATATACACTATCGACATAATATAGATAGTTAGTTTTGGGAAACAAGCAAGCTATTTGACTTATAAAATTAAAAAGTGAAGTCACAACACACAGCTCATACAAAATACTTGTACATTAAAATTCGAAATAAGATAGTAGGAATTGAATGTGAGTAGTTGTGAAGAAATCATCAACTATGAGCAACAAGACTTCCAATTGTGAAAGCACAAGAATTTACCGCGATCTCAGTCTAGAACAGGAGAATGGACATAGTGGATTTTAGTCAGTAATAATCTCTCACTGGATCTCGCCCCCCTTCCGGGTCCATGAAAAGAAATAATTTGATGTTCTTCTCCACTGGCTTTCAGAACGAACGGTAGCCTATTTTATTTCTGCGGTCGGCGAGTAAGGGCAGCTCGCCGCCCAACCAGAACCAGGCCCACGCAACCAGAGCGTACGGCGCGTAACGTTCCGCGCGCGCCTCAAAGAGCCAATAGACCACCACTTTACTTAATAGAACCTATAGTAAGTCAATAGTTTAGAAATCTGATCCAACAGACAACCTGTGTATACAGTTTTGTTGGAAATTTTATACTTTTTATAATGTAAAATGTACCTTCTAAGCAATAATAAATAAATAATAATAATAAATACACAGACGGGGCCCTAAAGGGCTGATATTCAGCCGGGGTTGCGGGGTAAGCGCAATGAGGCACCGCGACCTCGGCACAGAGCAGGAGAAGGAATAGGGGGGTTTTTAGTCAGTAAGAGTCTGACACTCCCTCCCGCCCGGCCCTGGGCGGGAGAAGTCATTTGATGATTTTTCCCTCACAAAAAAAGCCTATTTTATTTACATACATGTATAAGACTTTCTGTTTGTGTAGGATTTGTGCCTTTTTCATAAAAAAGTACATATCTACATATATCTAGGTAGTATGTTTATGTCCGATCTAAGCAGATTATTTATTTAACTGACAGACTAGCCAGCTAGCTACTTCATTGTTGAGTATTCCAGGTAATGATAAAGATGAATGATACCCTTAATGACACAAGAGCTGAAGGGATATATAACAAAGCCAAAATTATTATGTATCTAGGCGATAATTTGTATAATGAGTTCCGTCAAAAATTTTCCTTGTTTCAACATTTTTTCCCCGAATTGAGGCTCTTTAAATAGCAAGATTATTTAATTAATTTTTTAAAGGTAAAATTGAATATAAATAAAAAGGGTTGGAAAAAATTCACTCCTGTTACTTTACGGAAGATAATATTAAGGTGTAATTTTGTGAACACGAATGATATTATCGATTTTTGCAATATTTTAAGTCTGTGTTTAATAAAATATGATGATGATGACGATGGTATTAAATCAAGGAATTAAAGAGCTAGAGCTTTACAAAATTCGACTTCTTTGTATTTTATCTGGGGTAACAGAGATCTATGTGTGAATACGTACAGGGTGTAAAAAGACACTTAACGAAGCCGAAAGCCACGTATTCAACCCATTATTCTGGTTATTTTTTTCTTTAAGACCATAGCTGGGACTCCACGGGTTCTCGAGATAGGTATTGAAGGTCAAAGATGCATTTTTTATTTTTGTATTAGCTGGAATCTGTAGTATTATATCTATTAGATAACCGAATCAAAACCCGTTGCGCAGTTTTCAAGATTTAAGCATACATAAGGATTTAAGGACAGAGAAAGCGACTTAGTTTTATTACTATGTAGTGATAATGTTTTATTGATAATAATTGTAGCACACGTGGCATCATACATCCCAAGCATATC